CCTCTTCCCCTTCCCCTCCCCTCCCCCCCCCCATACCCTATATAATTCGAGGGCCCCCTTTGTATAGGGGGGCCCCCCTTCCTTAATTCATCTCTTAATAAGAGGCCCCTAAGTTCTATGACTTAGGGGCCCCATAACCTCTTGTAGGGGCCCCCAATTCCTTTGATGGTGGCCCCACCCCCCATCCACCCCATTTCTATTAGGGGGGGGGCCCCAAATCGATTGGGGGCCCCCCTAGCACTAATGGGGGGGCCCCTACCTTTGGGGTATAGAGGGTTTGTGGTGTATTTTGTTTCTAAAGACCCCAAAGTCTATAGAGAAAGAGACATAGGGGGGGCCCCCCATAGGGGCCCCCCCTTACAAGGAAAAGGGGCCCCTAGAGGGGCCCCCTTTCTCTCCTTCTTGAGTATTAAATCTTTCCTGCCTTCTAATATCTCCTTAAACAGTTTCGATGCCTCTTTCTTTGTTGCTGCTGCTGCTGCTGCTCTTTGTGCTGCTGCTGCTGCTGCTGCTGCTCTTTGTGCTGCTGCTGAGCACGCGCACACGTTATTACAAATAATTGCTGCTGCTGCTACAGGTGTTCTTGTTGTTGCTGCTGCTGCTGCTGCAGCAACCACCTCAACCCCACAGGAACTCGATGAGGGGGCACACAGTGTCTCTCAAGGTTTGCTGCTGCTGCTGCGAAGAGACGATCCCCACAAGAGACGATCCCAGGGAGACGATCCCAGGGAGACGATCCCGTCTCCTCGTCCCTTCACAGTGCTGTGCTGCTGTTCCCTCATTATTAGTTAAACCATTGCTTTTGTTGTCTTGCTGCAGCAGCAGCAGCAGCAGCAGCAGCAGCAGCAGCAGCAAGGGAGGTGGTGATTGAATATTGTGTGTTAAAAAATGCATTTAGGGTTGTTGAGGAAATTTATCCTCTTGTCTTACTGCTGCGGTTGCTGCTGCTGCTGCTCTTGCTGCTCTTGCTGCTCTTGCTGCTGCTGCTGCTGTCCTTGTTCTTCTTGCTGTTGCTGCTCTTGTTGCTGTTGCTGTTCTTTGTCTTGTTGTTTTTTTTCTTCCCTTTTTTCCTGTTTATTTAGTTGTGGTTGTAGGTTAGTACCTTGCTGATGTTGCTGCTGCTGCTGCTGCTGCATTATGATTTGCTGCTGCATTTGCTGCTGCTGCAGTTGTCTTGCTTGCTGCACCTGTCTCCTTAATAAATTAAATTTATTAGTTAATTTATTCATAAATAAACGGCTATCTTTTATGTCTTTGTTCCTCTTACTAAATGTTTGCATTATATCTGCATGCGCTAAAGCCCCAAACATTCCTCTCCCTCTTGCTAAGAAACGTCGGGTCCATAGACTCACAGGTGCAGCAGCAGCAGCAGCAGCAGCAGCATCAGCAGCAGCAGCACCACCACCACCACCAGCAGCACCAGCAGCAGGAGAAGGAGTGGCAGCAGCACCCTCTTTTGGGGCCCCTGGAGATACTACCTCCGTTGCAGGAGGCCCCATGGGGGGCCCCTCTGGTACCCTTTCTGCAGCTGGCTCCTGCTCCGGTTCAGCTGCTGCTGCTGCTGCTGCTGGTCCTGTAGCTGTCTCCGTAGGGAGGAAGGGGGCCCCAGTTGCTTGGGGGGGCCCTGTTGGTGGTGCTGGTGCTGCAGCAGCAGCAGCAGCAGGTTCTGTCTCTTCTGCTGCTGTCTCCTCTTGCTCTCCTTGAGGTGTCTCCTCAATACCCTCTCCTTGTGTCTCCTCTATACCTTGTGGTGCTGCTGCTGCTGCTGCTGCTTCTCCTGCTGCTGCTGCACCTTCTTTTGTTTCTTCTGCTGCAGCACCTTCTTCTGCTGCTGCACCTTCTTCTGCTGCAGCGCCTTCTCCTGCTTCTGCTGCTGCACCTTCTTCTGCTGCAGCACCTTCTCCTGCTTCTGCTGCTGCAGCACCTTCTGCTGCTTCTCCTGCTGCAGTTGCTGCAGCAGGTCCCTCTGATTCAGGTGTCTCCTCTTCTGTTAATACACCAGACAATGCCTCTATATCTGTCTCTTCTTTATTTGCTTCTCCTGCTGCTGGTTGTGCTGCTGCTGCTGCTGCTGCTGCGGAAGCATTTGCTGCTGTATTGTCTCCTTCTTCTCCCTCTCCTCCTCCTCCTCCTCCTGCTGCTGCTGCTGCTGAATCTTCTGTCTCCCCTATACTGTCTCCTCCTTCTGTATCCCCTATACTGTCTCCTTCCTCTGTCTCTCCCCCTAATGTGTCTCCTTTTGTCTCCTTTTCTTCTTCTTCTTCCTGCTGCTGCTGCATTAGACTTATCCTGTCCCCGTTGCTCCTATGCTGCAGCAGCAGCTCTTCTGGGTCCTCTTGGGGGCCCCCTTGGGACCCCCTTAGGGCCCCCCCTACTAGGGGACCCTCTACGGGGGCCCCTAGATGGGCCCCCGTAGATGAAGGAGACAGCCGACGGAGTGCTGCTGCTGCTGGGGGCCCCCAGAGTGCTGCAGCAGCAGCAAAGAAGAAGAGAGGGGCCCTCATCATTGTCTGCTGTATGCCTGATTGGCAGCAAACACAGTAGTTTGCTGCTGGTGCTGCTGCTGCAGCTACTGCTGCAGCTGTTGTACCGCTGTAGCGGCTACGGTTCTGCTGCTGCTGCTGCAGCCGCTGCTGCTGCTGCTGCTGCTGCTGCTGATTATAATGATAATAATGATAAAGATGTGTCTTAAGATTAAAAAGAAGAAGAAAAAGAAGAAAAAAAGAGACAAACAACAAAAGGAGACACAGAAGGTCGCAGGGACTGCTGCCTACTGTATCGGCAGCTGCAGCAGCAGCAGCAGCAGCAGCAGCAAAGGGATAGCAATTAAGAGAAAAAAAGAAGAAAAAAAGAGAAAAATATGTTATATATAATTAAATATAATATAATAAAACATTAAAAAAGGGCTGTAATAGCAGCAGCAGCAGCAACAGCAACAAATAAATATACAATAAAAAGGGTTTTTTTTGTTTATTTTTATTTATTTATTAATTAATAAATAAAGAATAAATAAAATAAATAAATAAATAAATAAATAAATAAAATAAATAAACAAATAAAATAATTCTTCTTAATACCTCTGCATACACCCCAACAGCAGCAGAGTCACTCACTCGAAGCAAACTGATGCTCCCCAGACACCACAACTGCAGCAGCAGCAGCAGCAGCAGCTGCTGCTGCTGCTGCAGTAATTGTTGTTGCTGCTGCTGCTGTATTTGAGAGATTTGTGTGTATTTGTATTGCAAATCCTTTTCGGGTGTCTCCTCCTCATTACGTGCTGTGCTGCTGCTGCTGCTGCTGCAACAGCAGCAATAGCAGCAGCAGCAGCGGCAGCAGCAGCGAGCTTCCAGTGTATAGACAGCTAATCATACATTGAATTGTCTCCTTATTAGGTGTCTCCTCTTTTGTCTCCTTTTATTCTTTTTTTCTTTTTTATTTTAATATAATTAAATAAAAATAATTAATTAATTAATTAATTAATTAATTAATTAATTAATTAATTAATTAATTAATTAATTAATTAATTAATTAATAAGGAGACAATTAAGGATAAGGAGACACCAAAGAAAAAGGAGACAATTAAGGAAAAGGAGACAAATAAAAAGGAGACAATTAGTTGACTCTCTTTATACACCCTAATTCTCTACAAGGTGCTGCTGCTGCAGCTCCTGCAGCAGCAGCAGCAGCAATAGGTGCTGCTGCTGCTGCTGCTGCTGCTGCTGTCATACACAGGACAAGACACACAGCATAGAGGCAAAGACAAGAGGGGTAGCTATGGCTAGCTAGCTATAGCTAGCTAGCTAGCTATAGCTAGCCAAGGAGACAAGCAGCAAGAAGGAGACACTTAGGTGTCTCCTTACCTATTGCTGAGGCAGCCACCTATAGGTACCACCAGCTAGCTGTAGCTACTGCTGCTGCAGCTAGCTGCTGCAGCTAGCTGCTGCAGCTAGCTGCTGTAGCTACTGCTGCTGTAGCTAGCTGCAGCAGGCAGCAGCTGGTTAGCTAGCTAGCTAGATAGATAGATAAATCTACAGGGGTGTGTTTCTTGTTTCCTGTAATAGTCAATAGACTATTCGTGTCTTAGTTGCTGCTGCAGCAACTGCAGCAGCAGCAGGAACTGCAGCAGCAGCAGCAGGTGTTGCAACTGCCCAGCTCTTGTGTCTCCTTTCTTATCTCTACAGCTACCTAGCTAGCTAGCTAGCTAGCTAGTTAGACACGCAACTAGTTAGCTAGCTAGCTAGCTAGCTATGTACTGCAGCAGGATCTGTCTGTTGGTAGAGTCTGCAGCGCATGCAGCAAATAATGTTTAATTCTAGCAGCAGCATCTGCTGCTGCTGCAGCTGCTGCTACAGCTGCTGCCGCTGCAGTTGCTACTGCTGCCGCTGTAGTTGCTGCTAAATAATGTCTGTAGCTACGAACAAATACACACAAGACACCGCTGTGTAGTTGCTGCTTTTGCTGCTGCTGCTGCTGCTGCTGCTGCTTAGCTGCTGCTTCGTGCTGCTTTTCTGCTGCTTTGCTGCTGCAGCATATTGTCTATGACTAATAAAATAAATAGCAGCACAAGAACAGAAGCACATGAGACAGACCCGAAGACACTAGCAGCAGCAGCAGCAGCAGCAGCAGCAGCAGCAGCAGCAGCAGCAGTAGCGTGTGTATACACATATACCGTAGGTGTCTGCTAGTGTGTCCCTTAAGGAAATAAATAAAAAAAAAGAATAAAAAGAATTATTTATTTACTTTTATTTATTTTATTTATTTTTATTTATTGTTATTTATTTATAGGGGGCCCCCTTGGGCCCCACACAAGGGGCCCCCCTGCTCCGATGGACAGACATTCTAGCAGCAAGCTGCTGCTGTTGCTCTTGCTGCTGCTGCTGCAGATATTTTAATGTCTTTCTTTTTGTATAAATAAATAATTAATGACCTAATTTAATTAAATAATAAATATAAATAAACAAAAAATACCCTAATAAGGACCCCTGCAGCAGCAGCAGCAGCAACAGCAACAGCAGCAGCAGCAGAAGCAGAAGCAACAGAATATATACAACCATTCTTCATCTTGAGGTGTATAGGCAGCTCCAATGCCTGGTGTTCTCTCTAAATCTGGGGGCCCCCAGGGCCCCCCTGGTGGTCCTGGGGGCCCCCAAGAATGTGGAGGGGCCCCCCCTGATAGTAATTTGGAGTATGATGGTACCCTATTAGAGGGGCCCCTAGAGGGTATAAAAAAGTACCCTTTTTCTTTAATATATCCAAATAAAGGAGAAGATCCCCTTTATTATTTTTATAAGATAATAATCAATAAAAAGGCAAAAAAACGTCTTTTTCTTGGTTCTTTATCCTTAATACTATGCTCTGCATGCAATATGCTTACTCCTTATCTTTTGGGGCTTTGTCTTGATTCTATACAACATGATGCAGGGGCATCCATAGAGGGAGGGGCCCCCTTCGGGGGCCCCTCCCTCCTAGGTGGTCTAGGAGGCCCCCTAGGTGGGGGCCCCCTTGGGGGCCCCCTAGGGGGCCTCCTAGGGGGCCTCCTAGGGGGGAGAAGGGTACGATTAATTGCTGCAGCACTAACAACATTTATTGTTGGGGCTTTGAGTAGCGCATGCAGAACACAACAATTAGAGAAGGCAGAAGAAGAAATATTAATGAGGTTAAGGTACGTATTTATTTATTTATTTATTTATTTATAAATAAATAAATAAATAATAAATAATAAATACTAATTAGGGGAGAAGAAGGAGGGGAGGGAGGATGTGTATTTGGTGCAGTCTTTGTGTCTCCTTAGCTGTCTCCTTTTATGTCTTTTTGTGTATCTCCTCCTTATTTGTCTCCTTATTTGTCTCCTTATTTGTCTCCTTATTTGTCTCCTTATTTGTCTCCTTATTGTTTGTTGTTCTTTGTTTAGGGTTTAGGGCTATTAGAATTTAAGCGTTTAGGGTTTTTAGGGTTTAGGGTTTAGGGTTTAGGGTTTTTAGGGTTTAGGGTTTAGGGTTTTTAGGGTTTTTAGGGTTTAGGGTTTAGGGTTTAGGGTTTATATGTATGTATTTATGTACAGGTTATATTTATTTTGTGGATTTATATCTAGTCCTCCTTATTGCATGCATAATTATTCATCATCTTATTTAGTATCTTTATTAGCCCAAGACAGCAAAACCCTAATTAGTGTTTATACCCAATCTATTCCTTCTTTTATTCGTTATATTAATTCATCTATAGGTGGATCTATTGCTCTTTTTCTTATTCATCCTTCTCTTGCTGCAGCAGGAATTATTACATTACCTGCTGCTGCTGCTGCTGCTATTCTTGTTGCTAAGTAAGATACACACACTCCAATAGGGTTTAGGGTTTAGGGTTTAGGGTTTTTAGTGTTTAGGGTTTAGGGTTTAGGGTTTTTAGGGTTTAGGGTTTAGGAGTTCTGTCTCGTGTAAATTAATGTACTACAAAAAGAATAAAAAAAAACAGCAGCAACAGCAGCAACAGCAGCAGCAGCAAGAGCCGTACGTCTCCTCTCTCTCCCTCTTTATCTCCTCCCCTTTTAGGGTTTAGGGTTTAGGGTTTAGGGTTTAGGGTTTGTTGTGTAGGCGATTAAAACGTGTTCGTGCTGCTCGTCAATTATTAGAGGATGAATGGACAGCAGCAGCAGCAGAACGTTTGCATGCATATGCTGCAGTGTATATACATCAGCAGCAGCAGCAAGAGATGCAGCGTGCATTTCGGGTGTCTAGGCAGGTACTGCATGCAGCAGCAGCAGCAACAGCAGCAAGTGGCTACTTAATGGCTACTCTTTCTTTTGCTGCTAATTCTTCTCTTCTTCTTCTTATGGCTACTGCTGCTAAGTTGCTCAAGGACCAAGCAGTAATTCCCTGCTGCTGTTGCTGCTGCTGTTGCTGCTGCTGTTGCTGCTGTTGCTGGTGTTGCTGCTGCTGTTGCTATTCATTATTATTGTCTCCTTTTTTCCCTATTTTTTCTTTTTTTGTCCCTTTTTTTCTCCTTTTTCTTTCTGTCTCCTTATATATTATTTACTATCTCCTTTTTGTCTCCTTTTTTGTCTCCTTTTTGTCTCCTTTTTGTCTCCTTTTTGTCTCCTTTTTGTCTCCATCCCTCCTGCACATTTGTTTTTTTTTTATGTTATTTTGTTTACTTATCTTCTTTCTTGTCTATTTTTTCTTTTTTTATGTCTTTTTTTCTCTTTTTTTTTCCTGTTTCCTTATTATATATATGTATTGTCTCCTTTTATGTCCCTCTGTCTCCTTTGTGTCTCCTTGCAGATCCGTCCTGCACATTTAGCATCTTTTTTATGTTATTCTGTGTTATTATCTGCTGGTTGTTATGGTTTATCTTCCTTGGGGGGAGAAATTGCTAAGGGAAGAGCAGCAGCAGCAAGGATATTAGATGCCCTTACTCCTGCTATTCTTTATCAGCAGCAGCAGCAGCAGCAGCAGCAGGGAGGGAAGAAGGAAGAGGAGGAGGAGAAAGAAGAGGAGAAAAAACCACTGCAGCAGCAGCAGCAGCAGCAGCAGCAGCAGCAGCAGCAGCAGCAGCAGCAGCAGCAGCAGCAGCAGCAGCGGGAGTTTTCTTTGGCGAATTTTAGAGGAGAAATAGAATTTCATAACGTAACATACCTCTATAACACCGCCACAAGCAGCAGCAGCAGCAGCAGCAGCAGCAGCAGCAGCAGCAGCATGACGAGCAACAGCAGCAATAGTATAGGAGGTATAAAGAATATATCCTTTATTATGCATGCAGGGGAGGTAGTGTGTTTATTTGGTCCCTCTGGTGGTGGCAAAACAACCATTTTTAATTTAATTACTAAACTTATTAAACCCCAACAAGGATTTATAACTGTTGATGGTAAGGCTCTGCTGCTGCTGCTGCTGCTGCTGCTGCTGCTGCTGCTGCTGCTGATGGTGCTGCTGATGGTGGTGGTGGTAGTGGGGGGGG